ATCCCGAAGCCAACTCGCAGGTAAGTGCCCAATAAACTTTCTTTTTCTTCCCCCTCTTCTGCTTCCTCGTTTCTTCTCCTTCTCCTTCTTCTTATTCCTCCTCGTCGACGTCATCGTTTTCCCTTTCTTCCTCCTCCCCATCATCTCTTCTTTCTCCTTATCATTGTCGTCGTCCTCGTCCCTTCCTTCCCTTCCCCCTCTTTCTTCCCCGTTCCCGACTCCCGACCCCCGCACCACTCCCCGCATGATTTCCGGCGCAATCCCTATTCCCGCACAACCTCGAGGGATCCCCCGCACGATCTTCGCTACCTTCCACTCCCCCCAGCGCTCTGTTTTCCCCCCTCCGCGCGTTGTCGTTCCCCCCTCGCGCGCTACTTTCCCTCGCAACCCTCGGCATCTCCCCCCACCCTCCCCGTGCGATCCTCTTCTTTTCCTTCCTCCCCAACTATACCCAGATCATTCCACAAGCTATGTATCCCACTCTTCCGCTACTTTCCCCAAATGCTCTCATCCCCACCAACCCTGCCAACCATTTCACCCAGGTCGACTCTTCCTCTCCCACCCTTGATTTCAACGCTCTTGCCGCAACTACCCCCAGAGAAGGCAAAATCCCTCCATCATTCCGCGCCAACGAGATTCCCACCTTCTCAAGCCAACCCCATGAGGATGTCTTCCTCTTTCTCACCAAACTTCAACAAGCCTTCTCCCTCCACAACATTCATGTCGTCCACTGGCTCCCCATTGTCGGCAGCAGACTCCTAGACAGCGCCGCTCGGTGGTGGTACACCGAAATGACCAACAGCCATCACGGCAGTCTCCGACCTCACACCTTCCTTGAGTGTGCCACCCTCATAACCTCCACCTTCCGTCCACAAAAAACGGTCGACAACTACATCGACCAATTCTGCCGGCTCCAACAAAACGGCCCAACCGACCGTTTTGTGCAATACGTCCGCTCGCTTCGTCAACATATCCCCATCGATCAGCGACTTATCATTCATCTCCCGCGTTAAGCGCGTATGCCGCAAAGACCTAGCTGCCGCCCTCGTCCACGAGCCACCCATAGCCCTCGCCGACCTCCTCACTCGTGCCCTCCACATCGACCGCATCTTCTCCCCCTACAAGACCGCACTTACATCGGCCCCTCCCCGCCCTCGCTTCTTCCACAACATGGCCTCCGAGGACACCACCTCCACCACCTCCTCAAACGAGTTCACGACCCCGACCCCGACACCCTCTCCGTTCCACTACACACCACATTGCTCTCCTCCGACTAACTCTCTGCCATCCACCTCATGCGGATGGAAAGGAGAGAACACACCAGTCGTCCTCCCATAAACCCCCCCCCAACCCGTCTCACGAAACTCACGCCATTAGAGTGAACCTACCTCCAAGCTAAGGGTGGATGTTTCCGGTGCCGACAGTTAGGACATTAGCAGACAAGCTGTCCAAATGCCACGCAGTTCACACATCACGCACCCAGGTCCACGGCCCCCCAACCTGCAGCTTCCGCATCCGCCACTCTCAGCCCCTCCTACACTTGAACACCATCCCCATGATCACCACGAACTCGCCCCGTCATCAACGACTAGTCTGCCAGTCGTCCCATCGGTAACAATCTCCACCCCACCGGTGACCCATTTGGCATCGACAATACGCCTGCCTTCCCCCTCTTCGGTGCCGCACATCCCACCGGACGACCCCCAGGCGTCGCAACCCTTGTCGCCTCACGCCCCCCTCACTGCCACATGTTCCTCAACCCTCCTGAAGAAATCATCCTCTGTCACCTTCTCTGATGTTGTTGAGGAACAAGCCCGACACGATCGGCTTGTCCGATTAGGCAATGAACAACGCCGCCTCAACACCATTATCTCCACCACCAACTCGTCACGCTTTCACCTCAAATTCATCGCCGCCACCCTTGGTGCGTCTACGACTAATTTCTAGGCCATCCTCGACATTGGACCCACCGGCAACTTCATCACCGACGTGTGTGTCGGCAAAGCCGGTCTGACCTCTACCGGTTATGACTCCCCGATTACGCTTCGTTTAGGGGACAAAGACACGGCCGCCGTAGTAGAATGCACGGTTCTCGGGACCACCATGACTGTCAGAACCCTCCACAGTCAGGTCTCATTCGATGTCATGCACTTAATGCGCAACATCGTTTTGGGAACACCATGATTGGACCACTACACACCTAACTTGTTCCACCCCAACTTCCTCCACCTTACACACCCCTCTGACACAACCATCGGCATTCCCTATCTCCCTTATCCCACCTCCCCAAGCTCCGTCACCGCGCAATGCGCACCAATTCTTTCACATGGCTCGCTCGAATCCCGACTCCACCTACTATTGCCTTGTCCTTGATCGCGAGTGTTCGGAGGACTTGCTCCCAACGGACAAACCTGACCAAGCCCCCCCCTCCAACCTTGCCCTCACCTCCTTCCTCGACAAGTTCAAGGACGTCTTCCCCGAGTCCTTGCCTGCCGGATTACCTCTGGATCGTGGCGTATCCCACACCATCGATTTGGAGCTCGGTCACTCTCCACCTTGCCGCCCTCCGTACCGACTCTCTGTTCTGGAAGCCGAAGAAATGAAGAGACAACTCGATGAACTAGTTGAAAAAGGATTCATTAAGCCGAGTTCATCCCCCTTCGGCACAACCTACCTTTTCGTACAGAAAGGCGGAACATCGGAACTTCAGATGTGCACAGACTACCGCGACTTGAATCGGATCACGATCAAGAACAAGTACCCCGTACCTCGGATCTCCCCGCTCCTTGATCGCCTTCGTGGAGAGAAATATTTTACCAAAATTGACCTCCGCAGTGGCTTCCACCAGATCCGCATCCGCGAGGAGGACACCCACAAGACCGCATTCCATTCTCGCTTCGGGCAGTACGAGTTCCTTGTGATGCCCTTCGGGCTCACCAACGCCCCCGCCACATTCCAACCCACCATGAATCACATCTTCCACGACCTCCTCGAAGTCTGTGTCGTCGTCTATCTCGATGATATGCTTGTCTATAGCCCCACCTTCAAGTCCCACCTTCACAATCTCCGCCAAGTCCTCTCTATCCTCAAAGAGCAAAAATTCTACGCCAAGCTCAACAAATGCACCTTTGCCGCTTCAAGCGTTGAATACCTTGGCCACATCGTCTCCTTTGAAGGCATCCGCATGGACCCTTCGAATGTCACCGCCCTCGTCGAGTATCCACCACCCAAGACCCTACTCCAACTTCGCTCATTTCTCGGCCTCGCCAACAACTACCGCCCCTTTGTCCGCAACTTCTCCGACATCTCGTACCCCCTCCACGGACTCTCCCGCAAGGACGAACGCTTCACTTGGAACGGCCGCCACCAAAACGCCTTCGACTTCCTCAAACAAATCATCACCATGGCCCCCGTCCTCAAGATCGGTTGACCCCTCTCGACATTTCTACGTTGCCACTCACGCATCCGAATTCGCCCTTGGAGCCGTGCTATCCTAACACTTCCATCGCGGCACCTCTGAAACCCCCTCCATCAAAGACTCCCCCACCCACCCCGAGGCCCCACCCAGCGAGTACTCCATCGCCTTCGCTAGCAAGAAGCTCCTTCCCACAGGGATGAATGACCCCTCCAACAAGAAGGAACTCCTCACCGTGATCCACGCCCTCAAAGTCTGGCGCCCGTACCTTGATGGGCAACACTTGACCTTTCACACAGACAACACCATCGTTTCCTCTATCCTCACCAAGAAAGACATCACGTCTCGCCAAGCCTGTTGGTTAGACTTTCTTGCCCAGTTCACATTCACCATTTGCCACACCCCCGACAAAAGCAACCGTGTTGTCGATGCCCTCTCTCGAGGCCCCGACCACAAGCCCTCCGAGAAAGTTTGACCACAAGCCCTCCGATAAAGTTTACGCCACCATGACGCATATCCAACTCCTCCCATCACTCCACCACCGCTACACCCAAGGCCACCTCTCTTGCCCAGATTTCTCAACAATCTATAACAAACTTCGTGACCTCGACCCTGTCCCCAACTCCATGACAATCTCCTTTACATCAATACCAAAGGCACCCGCCAACTTTGCATCCCTCACACACGTGGTCTCCGTACCCAGCTCTTGGTCGAACACCATGACGCCAAGACTGCTGAACACCTTGGGTTTCAGAAAACATTTGACACCATCTCCCGCTACTTTTACTGGCCTTCCCTACTCGTCGACGTCAAAGCATAAATCCGCTCACGCCCCACGTGTCAAGCCATCAACCCCTCAAATCGCGCGTGGCCCGGCAAGCTACACGAAACGTGGCCACTTCATCCCTTGCACCACATCGCACAACGCCAAGGATGTCGCCATTCTCTTCTTCGACCATATCGCACGCCGCCATGGTCTCCCCGAGAACATCATCAGCGACCAAGACCCTTGCTTCCTTCACAAGTCTGGAAACACCTCTTCAAAGCCTACAGAATCACGCTCAAGTATAGCACTCCATTCCACCCACAGACCGATGGACAAACCGAGAAGATGAATGATACTCTCCAAAGAATCCTGCGGAAGTATTGTCATCCACATCAACACGATTTGGATCAGTTGCTCACCGCCGTCGAGATCGCCTACAACAATGTTGTTTGTCCTTCCACTGGCATGTCTCCATTCTACCTTGACCTTGGCTGTCATCCGCGCTTGCCCTCCGATTTCCTGCTCCCCCCGCAACTCAACCCCTCCACGCCCTGCCCTTCCCTCAATGAATGGGCAGCAACAACGAATCGACTCCTCAGAGAAGCAACCGAAGCCCTTGAACGAACACAAGAACAACAAGCAAACATGACTAACAAACACAGATGTGCTGTGTCATTCAAAGTAGGGGACAAAGTCTGGCTCTTTGCCAAACGCTTTGAACCCGAACACAGCTTGTCCAAGAAACTCTCGAACAAGTGGCTCGGACCCTTCCCCATCATTGCACAAACCTCCCCCGTCAACTACAAACTCCAACTCCCCCCTGACATGAGTCCTGTCCACCCTGTCTTCCACGTAGAATACCTAAAAGAATACCATGAATCCCCACCCCAATTCGCTGACCACCCTTACCCCAGACCTCCACAGATCATGCTTCCCACAGGCCCATAATTCGTAGTAGAATCCATCATAGGACGACAAACCACACAAGTATCAGACCATCTGAAAGAATACAAAGTCAAATGGACCGGATACCCCGATGAAGAATCTACATGGGGACCTCTCTCTAATCTCAAGAACGCTATGAAGCTTGTTCACGCCTATGACCGCGCCCATCCTATATCCTAGCTACCCACTATGCCTAAACCCTGCCCCAACCCTGCCTCCCTGCACTACACACATCCCCTGTACCCAGCAAACCCCTTGGCCCTTGATCTCCCTCTATCTGATCAGCTCTTGCCTTCGTCTCGCCCCGTTCTCCCATCTGTCCTCTGCCACATCTCTGTCCCTCTTCTCCAAGTCCTACATGTGGCCCCTGCGAGTCGTCGGCGATAACGGACCTAATGGCAAGCGCACCAGGACGATTGCATGCTGCAGCTCAGTACGAGGAGATAAGACAGCTGGTTGGCCACCATGCTTTTCCCTTTGGCCGGCACCTTGGACTCGCAGACTTCTGGAGCAGCAGCTCTGACATGGACATCAAGATCAGTCTGCGACCTGCTATCCGGATCAGACCTCGTCATCAGATCGTGTACCGGACGCAACCTGCTACTGGGACAACCAAACTGAAGCCCTCGCCTCGCCTCCACATCACAGAACTGCTGAAGACTGCTTCCTCACCGCCACTTCTGCGACACCCTCCAAGACCTTCCTCAAGACATTTTTTTTGCTTTTTGACATTTTGTTACAGACCTGAGACATTGTTTTCCCAGACCCCCTCAGACACCCCAGCACTTGAGCATTGAACGAACAATTTCCCCCCCCCCCCCCTCAAACCTGACAACCTATAAGCATTGATTCCCTCACCCCTGTAGAACCTCAATAGGATTATCCTGTTACTTGAGCATTGATCCCCTCATCCCTGTAAAACCTCCATAGGATTACCCTGCTACTTGCATTACCCCCCCTTTCCTTTTCTGACCAGTGATCGGTCCCGTCCCGTCCTTCACAGTTGTTCATTGGGTCTTTGGCAGCCGGGACGTTGCCTTCCAGAGGAAGGGGATAGTGTTACGGACTCCGCCAGGGCTCGATCCCTGATCTGCGGATTACCACCCGCCAGGCTGCTATTTCATTTTTGAATCTCTGATCTCCGGTTCATGACTGTTGGCGCCCGCTGCAGTTGGTGCCCGTTCTCAAATCCTCCCTCTGGCACTTTCGGATTTCGATGCTTGGCGCCATCCGACATTCTGGCGCCTAGGCTCAGACGTTCGATTTTCAGTTCAGCCCCGAGGCAAATTGCACTTCTCCCCTCCGGACTCAACTTGAGTCCGGTACTTGAGTCCGGTACTTGAGTCCGGTACTTGAGACCGGACTTAAGATGAGTTCGGGCATTCAGTTTTCGGCCTCAGTGCTTGTGCTTCAGTGTGACTTGCTTCGACATTGTGCTCGGAATCCAAGATCGCAACTTTGCAACTTCGCAACTTTGTCACTTTGTGTCTACGTTCGTCGAGTCATGTCGAGTCCGTGTCGAGTTGAGTGAGTGTGTGTATGTGTGCTCTCACTCCCTCCATCTCTCTTCCCCGACCTCGCTACTCTGCCTCAGCCTCGTCACAAGGGACCTTTCTTCCATGTATGTGATCCGTCCTCCCGCTCTCACATGTGTGGTGTATGATGGGATGTCGCGTCAGTCTCGGATAGGTCAGGTCATATCTTTGAGTCTCCCGCTGCGCTACATTGTGCTATTTGCATATGTATCTGGAATTACATTGCTTGTTGATGCTTTGCTGACACTGCATTGTCCATTCAAGTCCTTTTCATCACTTTGCGGATCCTTGGCTCCCCATACATTGCTCGACTGAGCATGTTTTCAGAGAGAGAGAGAGAGAGAAGCATCGTGCTTCCAATCATGAACAACCCTTAGAGTTGGAAGGGGCCGAATAAAACCACCGCCATATTTCCCTTGGATGAGCCTCTTAGCATTCCAAGTGATTCTGAATCTCACCCATTCCAAAAGACGCTTCCCCTATCTTCTCCACTACCATGTTAGCTAAGTTTTCACTTCAGCCGGCACTGTGATGACATCAATAACATTCATACCGAATTTCATATCGAGCACGGTATAGCTAAGTTTTCACTGCAGCCAGCACCATGATGACATCAATAACATCCATACTGAATTTCATATCGAGCACAGTACTGCTATAGTATGCAGATGAGCAACAACCAGAAAGCGATCAAGGATGAGGAAAGTTAACAACTTACAAGTCTTTGGAGCCATCCAAGGAACGTATAGGCAGCTGCACTTGGAAGTAATCTGCATGCTGCACGGAACCGATCTTTTGCATTCTCCAGATCACCTGTCTGTAAGGCTGCTTGACCTTTAGCAATCAATTCGGCTGCAGAAGCCAGAATGTCTTCCATTTCCCTTTTCCCTGCTTCATCGGCAGCACGATCATTCTCATTGCCCATAGCTTCTTTGCCATTGCCCGAATGTCTGGTGAACTGCTCATCCTCGAACTCTTGCCTGCTTTTTCCACGCCCAGCTTTCAGAGCAGTTTCGGCACTTTCCTTTCCCTTCTCTTTCCCTTCTGTCTTCGATTGCCTGCAGGTCAGAGGAAAAGATGGCGGCGGTGGTGGCCGGGCGGGGAAGGGGGCTGCGTTCGGCTGCCCGTTTCCAGCTTCTACCAGAACAAGATGGCCGCATCCCCGTCTGGACAGCTCATTTCCCAAATCATTTGCCACGACCTCGGATATCTGGCAACAGCCCCTCAAGCACAACGCCTGAAACCGAATATCAAAGACAAACCCGTCAGACCCTACCAGATGCTCTTATGATGAAAATCAACATGTGCACAGTGCATGCCTTGCAGCACAGACCCTAAGCGCAATGCCTCCCTCCCTCCCTCCTTCAGGAACAGAAAGCCAAGCCCTCAGATGCCAAACATTCCATCCAGAGATGAAGACAGAGTACATGGCTTACGGGTCAGGACACAAGGCAGAATAACACCTACTGTGTGTTTGGACGTGCTGACATCAACAGACACATGTCACCCTGCAAAAAAAAAAACAACGCACGCACGATCCACACAAAACCATCATAAAACCAATCGTGTGGACTCTATAAAACTGATATTCAATTTCACACACACTGTGCAAACTTCATCCGGAAAAAAAAAGGCAAATCAAGTCCACAGGGACCAAAGAGGCCAGCAACTCTTTTCTTTTTCCCATATTTCAGCAAAATTCATTAGAACTCTTTTCTCTTAATGAGACTTGCCAAGAAAGGCCAAGAGACGCGATGTAGATGGAAGAGTAGAAAATCATATATCCATTAAATTTCGTTTCCGATTCCATGCAGATAAACATTAATGAATATGTTCATGGGCCTCCGTCAAACCAATCCTTTATGCTCCACATGTCCTGAAGTGTGATGATGAATTCCGATTTGAAAGAAGTATAACGATCTGCAGGGATGAAGAGGAGCACAATATAATGCAGCAGACCCAATTCATAAAAAACAGCTAATTAGTAATTAGCTACTCCACAACAACTGTTTCATCATTGTCCACCACTGTCATGAGCTTTCTGACAGTCGGATGATGGGTCAATTACTCCACTAGCGCAAGGGGGAGTTTGTACTGCTGGTTTCAACGAGGGTTCTGTGCAACCTTCATCTCACTATTCAGAAGTTGATTGGAATGTTTACACACATGCCATAAACACCTATGTATACGCCTCATATTTGTAACAGTCCAGATAACCAAACAGATATACAGGACAGCAGACCAGGACTGTCCACATCAACCATGGGTTGCCTGGTTCCTCGAAATTCCGTGGATGTGTGCAGATCTAACGGGTTGCAACTTGCACGGTATATTCATTTAATAGTTCGCTAGCACTGCATGCATGTTAACTCGTTCGACATTACTAGTTGCAATCTACATTATTCAAATTTCAGTCCTTCAGCAGAATCAAGAGTCTAAAGAACTTCGGACAATCAAAAATAAATGCACAATACGGAAAACATACCAACCACCCCTCTCTCTCTGTGGCATACTGCGTAGCCACACGGGCCCTGCAGGGCCCGTTCCGGACATTCAGCCTAAAAGCCTAAAACTCAGGGCTTACAGGCCCCGGTCGTTTCAGCCTGAAAGCTGAAAAACGAGGGCCTGCAGGCCCTACTCCGTTTCAGCCTATTTCTGGGTCTTTCAGACCCAGAGGTTTTCCAGCCTGAAACGGAGGGCCATTTTCAGGCCCTCATTGTTTCAACCGCCCCTAAGACTCAGGCACGTAAACAGGGATGCGAAACAGGCCAGAAATAGCCTGTTCCTCACGAGCTTGAGCAGGAGCTGCAGCTGCAGCCCCTGCCTCCCTTCGGCATTGACAAGAGCAGCCTCCTGGACTGCTCGCACGAGTCAGGAGGCAGACCCGGGTAGTTCATAGGGCTTCCCAGGCACTTCACGGGCAGGTAGTTTCAGTAGGCACTGCTGGTCTTCAGGATTCCGCCGCAGCACTCAGGAGGAGCGCTGCAGTAGTCTTCAGCGCTAGGCAGTAGTAGTAGCGCTAGCTGTAGTCTTCGGCGCTGGGCGCCCATAGCCGTAGCAGTAGTCTTCAGCGCTGGGCGCTGGTAGGTGGTAGATCGCAGAGTGGGAGAGATACTGGCGGAGGCCAGTGGTACTTACCTGTGGCGCCATCGTTCCAGCTCCATCTTCGTGGTACCTGCATCAAGGCGCCAACTTCACAGGTTAGTACTGGACACAGAGAGAGAGAGAGAGAGTTCTTCTTCTTCCTCTTCTAAGTCCACCATCTCTTCTCACCCTCTCGCCACCTGACTTCTCAGACTACGATAGAGAGAGAAAGAGTTGTGACTTGAGACTTGACGACATTGGATCCAGACTGGACATTGGGATTCAGACATTTCAACGAGGGACTATTTGGGCCTGTACCGAGACTTGGTGTTGACGACATTCCCATCTTCCCTCCTCTTTCGTCTAACCCCTCCTTCGTCTGTGTAAGGTTAGGGCTGGCGCAGTCTTCTTGTGTGAAGCGCCAGACCCCCTTCACACCAGATAACGATGATGATGATGTGTGTTCAGAGCTGCATTGCAATATTGATTGTTCGGATCATTCGTATCTAAGTCTTCCACTGTGTTATCTTGTACTTTGTATTGAGAGGTCGGTTCTTGTTCTGGTCTGCACGTTACAGTATGCAACAGTTTCGTATCGGAGCGGACCTCTCATTCAGAGGACCCGCTCAATCAAGTAGCCAGATTGCGATCTATTGATCACTCATTAGTAACGCAAGTAGGACTTCATCAAATCTCTGAATTTTTTTTATTTTTTTTTCTCGCAACAACTATCTGAAATTTCTGATATTCGCACTTCGTTTTACCTGAAAATTTCTGATACTAGTAGTTCGTTTTTACGTAGCAAATATCTGAAAATTTATGATAAATCGCATTTCGTTTTGTCTGAAAATTCCCGATAGTAGCAGTTCCTTTCTCTGATATTTCGCATACATAGCTGAAATTTCTGAAGTTAGTATTTTCGTTCTCTAGGCATATTGGGATAACGATAGAAGTGGTCATATTCTCAGAAACTGAAATTATTCTTTCTGAAAATCGAATCTCCATTCTATCTCGCAAAGTTTTTTTTTGAAAACCGAAATCTTGCGAAGCCTACCAATATTGCGTTAGGCGTATTCGGAGGTTGCATATTCTCAGAAACTGGATTTCGTTCTCTTCGGAAAATCGCATCTTTACTCCATCTCGCAAATTTTTTTTTTCAAGATCGCAGTTTGTAAAAGCCGAAACTTTGCGGAACCTAGCCTAGATCTCGTTCATAATACTCTTCTGACATGTCCTACTCATAATARATCGACAGATATACAAAAAAAAAAAAAAGGAAGTAATCCTCTTTTATTTTTTTATTCTATTTTTTATCTGTTGATTAGGGCCGGAGGAAAGTATTGTTGGGTTGGTTGCCTACCTACGTGTTCCCTCCCACCCACCCCTTTGCATGCATTCCGGGTTGGTACAATGCCACGTCAGCAGTGCCAGGTCAGACACAGTGACACGTAAGGAGTGCCACGTTAGCAGTGCCACATCAGACACAGTGCCACGTAAGCAGTGCCACGTCAGACACAGTGCCACATAAGCAGTGCCACGTCAGCAGTGCCACATCAGACACTGACACGTCAGCAGTGCCACATCAGCAGTGCCACATCAGACAGTGCCACATAAGCAGTGCCACGTAAGCAGTGCCACATCAGACACTGCCACGTCAGCAACATGACGGGCCTGCCAGGCCAACTGGCCAATAAGCCCATTGCCGACTACAAGAAGCGCTTCCAGGCTCAGCTCGTTGCAATCGAGGCTGAGGAACAACGCCACTGGCAGTCAAGGCTGCCCAGCTACAGGCTGAAGAAGCAGCAACAGCAGAGAAGCTGCGGCTACAGGCCGAAGCAGACGCAGATGCCCAGGCTCGCCGCAAGGAAGCCCAGGATCTGCTGCAGCGGCATGAAGCAGCCAGCATCGACAGACTCAAGTTTTGGCACTTTGAACCGAACGGCGACGAGGCAACACCGGAAGAGCAGCATAGGGAGCTTCTCTCCAAACTCATGACACGGTTGTTGTGTGCTTGCAACTACCAACGGTCCGAGTTGGAGAAGCAGTACCGGAACCTGACGCAACAGCATCAGGAGTTGGCGAAGCTCCGCCACACAGTGCAGAGCCACGAGGATGCAACTCGGGCACTCAATGCCCGAATGCTGGACCTGGAGAAGGCTGTACCAGGACCAGCTGCTGGGGCTTCCAGCAGTGCATCCTCTAGCCGCCAACTGGAGGAACGCGTTGACCACGTAGTGGCAATGCTCGGCGACATCAGCACCTTCGCTGCGCCGACCACCATCAGCAGTCAGCTGCATAACTTGAAGACCGAGGTCCAGCAGCTGCAGTCGACGAACGCGCATGACAATCTGAAGATGTACAAGATGCCAACTTTCCAACTGGACAAGTTCGCGGACTTACACGCAGCAGGATCCGGTCCTCTGGTGGGAAGCATTCACAACGCAACTCAGGATTCTGCCCGTAGCCAAGCATGCATACATCGGCGCCCTGTTCCTGAACTCAAAGGGAGGATGCCAGACCTGGTTGAGCCACCTGGCAACCTCTCACGGCGTCGACGTACCCGACTTGAAGGACAAAATCACATGGGAGGAACTGACACGGCTGTGGAAGAAGCGGTTCATCGTCGACGACGCGCCGGCACTCGCCATCAACCGTCTCTTCACCATGTCACAGGGCAACACTGCAACACGGGATTGGCTCACGGAGTGGCAGAAGATTGCGGTGATGCCCAATCTGGAATTGGCATTCACGCATCTACGCCGCGAGTTCTACAACAGGTCCTGTGCGGCATTGAGCCAGGCTCTTGGTGATCGCGAGCAGTACTCAACCTTCGCTGAGATTATTGACAAGGCGAGGGAAATCATCAAGACCAACAGGTCAGCTGCACACGAGAAGTCAACATGGCAGCCGAGCTATGTGGAGAAGGTACGAACTGGTCCGTGACAGCAGCACTTCGCTGCATTCCAGTCAGACAGTGGAGATAACCCAGCAGCCACTCCAGCATCAAGTGACGGAGATCAGGTGGCTGCTGTCCAGCCGCGAAGCAACAACAAGTCCCGCAGTAATGGGAAGGCGAAATCCGCATCGCAGGCCGAAAATGGACAGCCAGTACAAGTTCCATGGGTCAAGTTCGGCTTAACCGAGGCGGAATAC